AGGTCGATAGCTTTGGGCAGCCACCTTCCTTGGCGGGGCAGGTGTGTTTGTGGTTTCTTTCCCAGCCGGTTCCAATTTTTACCTGCAGTTCTTTGTGGACGAGAGTTTCTGGGCCATGTTTTCCTCCATGTATCCATCATATTTGCTGTTGGTTGAATATATTGTTCATCTTTGCCTCAAAAAAAAAAAAAGGTTGTTCTTCACCCTTGCACGTGCTGGATGTCTTCATCTTATGTGCTGTGTTCACACAATGTGGTCTTGTCAGCATTAGGATTTAGAGATTTGGATTCCCAATTACAATTATCATTTCCGCTACCTTCTATGACTCTTTTCAGTTTCCAACATTTTGGGACACTGAATTAGAGGGCTAGGGGTGTAAATTTCAATGAGGTCAGTCGTCCCCTAAACGATCCGATTCGACCCGATAGGTCGTGTTAGGCCTCGACAATCAGAGTCGGACTTACCTCTATAGAGAAAAAGAATTTGCAAAGAGAAACTAAACATTGTCCATAATGCAATCTGTCAAAGATGAAATCTCATGAATACATGTGATTCATTTCTAATAACTAAAGTTTTACATAAGATGACTAACACGGTATCTGATTAAGCAAAAGACATGAGTTGAAATTTTGCTATTATCTGTTTTATGAAAATTATGCACGAAAATTATGCACATAAAATTTACCAAAACAAAAAAGAATGAAATGGTTAACCCAACAATAAACTACTATAAACACAAATTAAGACTCGCATATTGAATAAGTCAAACTAGATAGTCAGAATTTTATTGAGTATTCTTGAGTCCCGTTTAATACAACTTATCAAATATTGAATTTAAACATACAAAGGTGGAAAGACATTCAAAAATTGACGAAATGTGAAAATTTCTGGTATTTTTCTTTTTTTTTTCCTTTTTTTGTTTTCTTCTTTTCTTTATCTGCGTCTTTTCTTTCTGTTGACTTTTTCCCCTTTTTATTTTCCTTCTTTTCTTCATTTCTTTCTTTTCTTTCTTTCCTCTATTTTCTTTTCTCAGTTTCCGTCAATAGCCGCTGTTAGCTTCCTCTTTCTTTTATTTTCCTCAATTGGCTATGCTCCTCCTCTTCTACGTGTGTATCTCTCCTTTATATATTGCAGCCCCTGTTTAGTCTAATTTTAAAAACCCAAGTTGAGGCCTAGTAAATTCCAATACCAAATTAAATTAATTTTTCTTTCCAAATCCTCAATTATTTTATGTAACGCAAGTTGATTCTTAAAACGATTTTATTTGTGCAGCTCATGCCAATTTAGTCGTTATACTTTGGATTTAGCCATTTTTTCGCTATTTTGTATTATTTTCTTCAATTTTTCATTAAACATAAAGTTTTATCTAGAAAACATAATTCAACATAAATTAGATAGAATTTTATTCAAAAGACAATAAAATATCATGATTTAGCGCCACGAATAAGTATAAAAACTACACTTATCAATTTTTTTCAGAGTTTCCAACATTTTGGGACACTGAATTAGAGGGCTAGGGGCGTAAATTTCAATGAGGTCAGCCGTCCCCTAAACGATCCGACTCGACCCAATAGGTCGTGTTAGGCCTCGGAAATCAGAGTCGGACTTACCTCTATAGAGAAAAAGAATTTGCAAAGAGAAACTAAATATTGTCCATAATGCAATCTGTCAAAGATGAAATCTCATGAATACATGTGATTCATTTCTAATAACTAAAGTTTTACATAAGATGACTAACACGTTATCTGATTTAAGCAAAAGACATGAGTTGAAATTTTGCTATTATCTGTTTTATGAAAATTATGCATGAAAATTATGCATATAAAATTTACCAAAACAAAAAAGAATGAAATGGTTAACCCGACAATAAACTACTATAATCTATAAACACAAATTAAGACTCGCATATTGAATAAGTCAAACTAGATGGTCAGAATTTTATTGAGTATTCTCAAGTCCCGTTTAATACAACTTATCAAATAAGTCGTAAATGTATAGTAAAACTAAATTAGGTACAATAGGACTTCTATCTCCGAGTGCATCATACTGACGAGAACTGCCGGTGACGATTATGCTTGAGCAATTGACTTCCTTTATACTATAATAGCGATTATGCTTGAGCAATTGACTTCCTTTATACTATAATAGATTCATGTATGAATACTGACAAAATTTTATTCTTATTTTTTCCATATCTTTAATTAAAAATATACTGTTTAATCATGGAGTCAGATGTATATCTACCTTTAGTTCTTTGTAATTGGGGTGTTTTAGTTTATTTATTTTTTTAGAGAGGGTGGATTATAATTGTTTTATAATAAAGAAAAGATCGAGTCAAGGATTGTGCAATATTGAGTCCTATGTTATACATTATATAATCTGAAATGAAGTTGAAAATGACCCCTTTTGACAAAAGGTAAAACTTGAAAATATTGAATTACTTGTAATATAGACTACAACAATAAATTGATTATTTTCATTTGATAAATTTGACCATTTATGTCTTGCTTGACATTCCTCAATTCACATGATCCTTTCACGTTCTATCCATAAAATGACGACTAAATTTGTAGACTTTAGAGTTCTCTGGCGAGAATTTTTTTTTTTTTTTTCCGAATCTTATTAAAACATTGGTTCACACAAACTTGTTCCGCATGAAACAACATAGTCCCGTAGTGCTGAGCTAGTAGACAAATCCGAAACTACAAGAATATTTATTATATCAAGTCATACCAAAAAACAATGAACGTTAACCCTTAATTTGGTGTTTGGTGAATGTAAAAGTGGTTGGAGAGTGACGATAAACAAAGCCCCTGTTTGTCTATCATTATTTCAAAAACTTATTTGCTACAGTAAAATTCTCCACCACGCATTCACCCAATAAAATATTCTACACATAAACCAATAGAATTACTTTAAATTTCAATCACACGTTCTCCAAAAAAATATTATTCATTACTCTATTTTTCACTTAATAATGGGAGATAGAAACACCCTATCTTTCCGTGCAAGATAGAGTTTTAATTGGTACGGCTAAGTCCAAGTCCATTTTTGGCAACCTAACCACGGGAAAATTTGTCTAACAATACAAGAAAACAAATTCTCTGAAAATTACTTTTATTGGTTTATGGAGTAGTGTCACATCATACCATTATTTAGTCCTTTTTATTGACAAAACTCCAAATGTGAGGACTGTGTACTAATTTAAAACCCTCAGAATCTATAAAAGAATTACTTTCAAAGATTTACGCATTGGATCCCATTGTTCGAGTAACAAGTTGGTTCTCATCTTTTAAAATGAGCAATTTAAAGGATAATTCTACAACAAGTTCTCGATAATTAAAATGATTTTAAAAAATTATTAAACTGTCATGTTGTCATCGTGAGATGTGCTCTGCTGCAAATTTTTAGACATTACTCCAAGTTAGAAATAAAATCTAATTTTCATAAAGCTGAACACGTGACAGTCACATGACGATTTATAAGAGACTTCGATGTGGACCGTGGATTGATTGTGCGGCGATGATGAAATATATGACCAACCTGTTCCTCTTCAAACTTTTTAGATAAAATTGTTATTCAAGTATTAAGTTGGGGACCAATATTACATTTTTTTCAATTTTAAATCAATTTGGCATTTTCTCTCATCAACTTCTAGGTAACATTAGACCTCCCGATTCAATGTTGAGGGGAACTATTACTTAAATTGATGATGATAGTAAGCTCATGTTTGGTGGTTATTTTATTGTGTGAATGTGTGCTTGAAAATAAATGTGTAGAAAAAAAAATGAATTTTAAAAGAATAGAAGATGCAGTGTTAAGTAAAGATGAACAATTCTTCCAATTTTTCTTTTTCTTTTCTGCTTTCATCCCCTTGTTTAGACAACTGAACCATGTGACCTTTCGTGGATTCATTAGTACAAATTTTATGGATGGACTCGTTCATGTCTTAAATCCTAGGTACCAGGTATTGTGCAAAGACTCTTCAAAGTGGGACCCTTCTTCAGTTCTGACTCTTTAAAGTGGGACTCCACCACGTCCCACCTACCCAGAAAGACCTATTGGACAGCCACCTCTTTCAATTTCAACCGAGATATATATTTATATATATATATATTTGTGTATAATAGAGAGAACCTTCGATGTGATATTTATTTTGCACAAGCTAACAAGCAAAGGATGAAGAAAAATATGCATTAATTATCTCAGCCGTGTTACAATTGAAAGTTGAAATCCATGAAAGATGATGCGAGGGGTTTAACATAATCAACAAGAAAATGCAGAAAAAGTTATAATATTATCCTTTTTACAGGTGACATACAACTACACTCATTTATTTATTATCATCATTATCTTTACTTAATCTCTCTTTATTCTGCATTCAATTTGCTGCTCAAATTGATTAATTCATAGTTGCTCCATTCATTTAATTGTATGGCTCCGCTTTATTTCATTGCCTCTTCATTTTCTTGCACTTTTTGTATCTGGGAATCTTCTTGATTTTGTTTTTCGCATGCCTTATTCTGCGTTCTGATTTTTTTATTTTTTTTAGATATGATTAATATTTTACCCTTTTACTGGTTTTCAGACATTCTGTTATTTGTTTTTTCATGGTTGTTCTTCGTAGCGTGTCCAGGTAGAGTTGGGGTAGGTGAAGAGGTAGCATAAAATTTTGTCAAGATTTATAAAGATATCGTAATATTAATGTAGTCTGCCCTAAATTTAAAGGGGGGGAGGGGGGACTGCTAGATTACCCGTCTGGTCTCTTGTTATTTATCATTTTAATTGGGAGTCTTTTTTATTTTTGAGAAATTCAGTCTGAGAACAGTCCCTTTATATATGTACTCTGATTTAAGAAAGTTGCCAAAGCTTGTAATTTTCTTGAATTTTGACTATTACTCTATTCTTTCTGTATGTTCAACAGGTTTTCAATGGCACAGCTGAAATAAATAAATAATTTAAATATTGAAATCCCTTCTTCGATCTAGAGAAGAAGAAAAATGAGGTGTTTCTATTACTTCAAGGACAGAAATAGACCTAGGGAACAAAAATCAGCTCCAATTTTCAAGAATCAAAGCAAATCCAATGTATCAGAAGCCGAAAGGGGGACTAAATCTTCATGTTCAGCTACTTCACAGCGCAGCATTCCGGAATTATATGAAGAAAAAGCTCAGAGTCTGAGAGTTTTCACATTCTCTGAGCTGAGACAGGCAACTAATAATTTTAGTAGATTGCTTAAGATTGGTGAAGGCGGGTTCGGATCAGTATATAAAGGAACCATCAAACCTGTTGATGGAAAGGGTGATCCTTTTGTGGTTGCCATCAAGAAACTCAACAGAGATGGCAATCAGGTATGATAATTGTGTTTAAATTTGTCTTATGATGCTGGGATCAAAGTAATGGAAACTTTTTGTCTAATATGCTTCAAGTACAGTGCTTTGATTTAGTTTCTGAGTAGAGATGTAAATGTGTGTTGGCCTACTCATGCCTCAAACTCTGTAATGGTCTGGCCAAATAGGCAAGTCGTGTTTATCTTGGCTCTTCAGGCTTGCGCGGTCGAGCATCTGTAGTACTGGATTAAAGAAATCTCAAGCATTTATATGTGAAATCACCAACATGATTTCAAACGAATTCACATTTGTGCATTGATAATGCAAGAGGTACGACCTAATTTATGTAATCGTTTTCAGGGTCATAAGCAGTGGGTTGCGGAAGTACAATTTCTCGGTGTTGTCAAGCATCCAAATCTTGTCAAACTTATTGGATATTGTGCCACAGATGGCGAGAGAGGTATACAAAGGCTACTTGTATATGAATACATGGAAAACAAAAGCTTGGAAGACCATCTTTTTGACATGGCTTATCCAGTTCTTAATTGGGATCGGAGATTGCTAATAGTGCTAGGAGCAGCTCGGGGATTGGCTTACCTGCACGAGGAATTGGAAGTCCAGGTTTTACCTTAACAATTTTCTGCCAATTCATTCGACTACTTATTTGCTGCTTAGCGCAAAACGGTTAATGTTACTATCAGTTACTAAAGATTTGAGTCATATCAAGAACTTAATCAGCTTAAAAGTAATTTCACATTTAGTAGCTGAACTATTTGTTTGTGCATGCTCTTCGAGAATCCAATAGCATTTAGGACTTGGATTTGCCCTTCAACTTGATTGAAGATGCTGTTAGCTTAAGATAAAACTCTTTCTGCTGCTAAAATAGTCAATACTTGAAGAAAATGTTTTTATGCTACTTATGAACTAGTAAAGGTTTTGCCATTTATTGTTTACTTCATCTACTGAGCACCGTGAAATCTGTATGTTATTTAAATAAGGTATGATTTGCAATATGTGGAATTTAACTGTTGTTTATATCTATGGTTAGGTTATATATCGAGATTTCAAGTCATCCAATGTTTTGTTGGATGAGGATTTCAAGCCTAAGCTTTCTGACTTCGGGCTTGCTCGGGAAGGCCCAACAGCTGGACATACTCATGTATCTACTGCGGTACGATAGCATGTCGCATTTGCATGTTGTATAGAGCAGATGATCATAATGAACTTCATCGAACATTTTAAAATTGCACTGATTGAAATTAGATAATGATCCCATGACAGAAATCGTCTCAAGAACTTCATTAACTAACTTGAGATTAGACATACAGACCTATTCTATACTTATTTACAAAGACGAAAACAAAATATTTTTGCATTTGGATATGCCAAGGACTTGAGATATAGTTGTTTGACATGCTAGTCTTTCAAAGATTGATATGAAGTGTTCTTTACAATACTCATTTTGTTTATATAATTATTTGTACATAACTGGTAGTCGGTTTTCTGTGACTAGGTTGTTGGTACATATGGATATGCTGCCCCTGATTACATTGAGACGGGTCATCTCACTTCTAAGAGTGATGTATGGAGTTTTGGCGTTGTATTGTACGAGATATTGACAGGTAGGCGTTCGCTCGATAGAGATAGACCAAGATTGGAACAGATACTTTTGGATTGGGTGAAGCAGTACCCTGCTGACAGCAGGAAATTTGGCATGATAATGGATCCAAGACTCGAAAGTCAGTATTCACTCACTGTAGCTCGGAAAATTGCAAAGTTAGCTAATAGTTGTTTGGTAAAAAGTGCAAAGGATCGACCGAAGATGAGCGAAGTGGTGGAAACTTTAAAGCAAATAGTTCAGGAATCCGGTGTGGAAAGCCCATCTGCGAACCAGTTCGAGTGCGTTGAAGATGAACCATTAGAAGATAAGCCCGATAAACATACGAGAATTTCAGAATCGGCCAAAAGGCGTATGGCACACTTGGCTAAAATAAGTGAAAATGTAGGGGGTATTAGTAGAAGAAGGTTTATGTTCATGCAGAGAACAAAAGTGACATAAGCAGGCAGTTTTCTTAACACGATTTTGGACATCGGATTTGATTTTCGAGTCATCGATCAGCTTTTGGTGTATATAACGTGCTCGTCAATTGGTGTAACCCGAATTCAATAAATTTGATTATATGATCGAGCTAAATGTAATAGTCAATTAGTAGAAATGCAATTGAAATTTCGTCGTTCTGATGATGAAATAAATCCGCGGTATGCAGTCTTCAGCGTTTTCTTGTAATGAAAATTTTATTGGAGAAGAATATATTTCTTCATATGGCTCTCAGAGTTCATTTTGGAGGATTTGTACTTGTCTATGACACAAAAGCCATTGCAAAAACAAAAAATAGCCCTGACAATCTGCACTTCACTTTCTCTTCCAATTTCTCTTATCTTAATCAGATTGTGTTGCATATATGAGTATAAACCTGATAACCATGGCTAGTATCTATTACAACCTACAGCAGTAACCTCGGGACCTACAAGTAGAGTTGTCAAAATGTGCGGTACATTGTAAAACCCGTAGGCCCAATGAAACCCAGTACAGGCTGTGCCAGGCCCAGAATTGTTTAGGTCCAGCATGCCTAAAAAGTATGCCCGTGCCAGGCCAGTGCCGGCTGGGATACTGTAAGCCAGTGTTTACAGTTTATATCACAGATGTGTGGCATTCATTGTCTCATGGGACACGTTAAGCACCTGAAACTTAAAAGGAAACAAGAAAATAGATTAAAAAATAAAAATAAAAAAACCTCTAATTAGAATTCTCAGATGTTATTGAATCACAACAAAAATTCTCGTCTCAGTTGGATCACAAGACAGAGACTATTATTAGAGTGATTTATTAACAAACCAGAAGAAAGGTACAACAAATTTGAATTCTATCAAGAAGTGTGGACATACCAAATTCAACGTAGAATTTGATCCAGAAAAAATGAAATATAAATAAATAAATGAGCTGCAGCAATTTTGGGTAAAATTGCATACACCAAATCTAACCTCATTAAATAATTATTGTGTAATTGGCTATTGAGCCCGTTGTTGAAAGACATTTTTGTCACTCTTGCAGATGGCTGCCACTTTAGTTTGCAATTTTCTTGCAATAATCTTCATTAACCATTCGTCGAATCATCTGGCATAGCCTAAGACATTGCCATGAATTATTAGGCCATGTAAGTCGAAAAAAATTCACTCAAAGGCTAATTAAGCATCTGGAAATTACAAACTTGTTAAAACTGTTAGTGTAGAAGAGCATACCCGTTTTTTATGAGAACTTCCAGATATTGAGTTTGAATTTGTCAATCTTAATTGCACATCTGTTTATCAACCCAACTGATTCTCCAGGAAATAGAAACCCTATCAACCAAATTTGCAAAAAGTGGACAAGGAACTCGTGTACTAATATTTCATTCTTGAATATCTGGAAGATTTTCCGTAACAAATGATTGTTGAAGAGGAAAATACGTATTTTAAATAATTATAAAGTTTCTGGACAATTTTTAGGACGTGTTCGGTGGAGATTAAAATCGGATTAAAATTAAAAAACTAGCCGTTATTGTTGACTTTTATTAGACGAGTGGGACCCAATAACAGCTATATTTTCAATTTTAATTGGATTTTAATTTTTACCAAACGTGCACTTAGAATGTATTTGATGGAAAAGCACATTTGAACAATAATCGCTTAGTAAAAGCTTTTTCATCTCAACATAAAAAGCACATTTCATACTAACATCTGCGGGTGATCTCATTATTTTCTAGACAATAAACTACATAACACGTTCAGGATGCAAATAGTTAATATTAAATCTTATTATCTTGAGAAAAAATACTGACCTACAATTTTAAGGCTTCTTCTGCAGGGTGAATATCACTTCGATGGCTCGATATTGGGAATATTTTGCCTACTTGATCCAGTTCAGGAGAAATTCCCAAAATGAGCATCTGTAGTCTAAATACATGAAGGAACAATAATCATGCTTTTGCAGTTTTAAGCTCAGGAAAGAACTAAGCAAAAGTGACTAAACCTTCCTTACAAGAAAACCAACAAGCAGCCTAACAGTAAGATTTTACAGAACGAACAATTAGAAAGTTATCACTCATTCATCAAACTCGGCAGGTTCCAAAATGATAAACAAATTTGAATAAAATCGAGAACAGGTACTAAGAAGAAAGAGTAAACTTACTTGAGCACAAAAATCTATAACTACCAAACTCAATAACTCATCATTCAGAGGAATTTCACTTGTACCAAAACAAAAATTTAGTCAAAACTTTAAATATAAAATCCAGGAAAAATGTATAAATAAAATATATAAAGACTGTGACGGTGATGAGCTTTTAAATCAAGGTGTTTGATCATGTGGCAAAACTCTCTCCTAAATTTATTTCTCCATCAAAAAATAAAAATAAAAAATCACATGACAGAACACGTTTACTAACTCAACAGAACTTTTACCGAAACCTAGGCCATTATTAATACTTAAAAGGATATTTTGGACCTATTTCAGCAACTTTCAGAGTCTCTTCCGCTCAAAATATGACAAGATATACCCCTACTTGGCAGATGATAAGCACTGGAATGACAAGATTGCTAGGTTAACTACAATTTGAACATAATCTGATCAGACGATGCCTAGCTGAAATGAGATTCAAGACGAGAAAAATTCACCACCACTAGAAAATAGCCCTTCTCCTTTTCCCCAATTATAAATTACTTTTGATGCATTTAAAGTTAACAGCATTGTCTTGCTTATTCTGTTTGTTAGATTTCGAAACCATTCTCAGTAGTGGTGTAAAAATTTTAAAATTATAATATCAAACCCTAAAAGCGGATCTCAACTTAAGTAATTATAACAACCCACGCCTAGACATTTGTTACAAAACGATTTAGCCACATTCAAAACACAAATTAGGGGTAACAACAACTCTTCACATTTCAATTTATTAAGAAATATCAACAATAAGAATTAGTTATAAGTCAATCTCAGAAAACTCAGCCTAATTGCATTCGTCAATAATTAAGATACAGCGTGACAAAAACTAAGACGGGTATATAATGGTAGCAGCCAAAACTAAAACAATGATAGCTGTGAAGCAACGATTTATGCTATCCTAACAGAAAATCCAGGAGTTGAACTAGCTTTGGCAGTTGAAAGTTCAGTCATTATTCAATAAGTTTCAAGAAATTCCCAGCACAAAATATACTAAAATGGAAAATACCTTCAAAAAATTTTGATACCAGTATGGTTACACACTCCCATTTCGTTTCAATTTTTAAATTCAATCATGATTCTGTCTGGAGCCTCCTTGAATGATAAATTCCCACCTCATCGTTCCAAAACCTATGGAAGACACATCCAGGAATCCATATACTCACATTCCTGATCCACATACCATAACAATTTCTCGCAAGTCTTGTGTCTTACTCCTGTTCAGTTTAAACTTAACTGTTGATCACATGGAAAGACACATTGAATCCACCATCAATCAACTCAAGAGAATTAAACCTCTTGCTATGGTTAAATCTATTTCTATGTATATAGTCATAGGTCATGTACATGAGAAAGTCTATGAAGAGACTTTTTCCCGTTATTTTTTGAGTATATTCAGCATCTACTTGTGAATCATTATACGCTCTGTCCAGTATCTTGTACGTTACTTCATCAAAGTCAAAGGAGATCTCACTCAACTTCTGCCCCCACATCATAGCCCTCTGAGGTAACCCTTGTTTGATTAGATGAGATAGCAGTACGTTGGTTGTAACCGTATTTGGAACAAATCCCATCTTAAGCAATTTAGCTGCCAAAATCATTGCACGGTCAAGTATGTCATTACAAACGCCATTCATCAGAGTGTTGTATGTAACTGTATTTGGAACCATGCCCGTAGAAATAAGATCATCAAACATCATAACAGCTAGATTCATTCTCTGACTACTGCAGAGACCATGAAGTCGTATGTTATATGTTGTAATATCCGGGTCCCACCCACTAGCGTGCATTCTGTTCACAAAATTGTCTACATTTATCAGGTCAAATGCCTTGCAGTATCCACTAATCAAAGTGTTGTAAGTGACAATATCCGCTGTTAAACCATGTTTATGCATCTCCATGTAAGTATCCGTAGCCAACTTCATTCTTCCCTGTTTGCAGAACCCATTGATGATAATGTTAATGGTGAAAACATCTGGGAGCAGACCCCTCTGCCTCATCTCCCTCTCCAACTTCAATGCTTCATTTAATTTTCCAGAGTTACAAAAACCAGAAATTAAAGAATTATAAGCAAAGTTGTTAGGGACAAGTCCTTTCCTAGTCATTTTCAAAAATGCATCATATGCCTCTTCAACAAAGCCAGCTTTACAAAGTCCATTAATGAAGGCAGAAAAAGCAACAGCATCAGGAGCCATTCCACTTTTTTCCATCTCTTCCCACACAATCTGAGCTCCCACCATGTCCCCTTTCTTAAAGTATCCATCTAGAACAACAGTGAAGGCCACTTTATTGATAGGATAACCATTCTTGATCATCTTAATCATGAGATCCATAGCTTCTTGGAGCCTCCCTACTTTAGACAAACCTATGAGCAATGAAGTACATGTGGAAGCTGAAGGAGTTAGACCAAATTTTATCATTATGTTGTAAACTTCAAAAGCTTTGTCTTCTAAACCTGCTTCACTGTAAGCAGTAATAATGGAGTTAAATGCAACTACACTAAGAGGTATCCCTTTCTCAAGCATATTTTCTAATAATTCCAGGGCTTCCTCTAATCTCCCAGACCAACATAACCCCGATATTGATATATCAGACAGTGAACAATCTGGAATCAACTCATTACAGGATAAATCCCTCAAAATTTTGTCACCATCCTCTTCCGTTCCATACTTATAATGCCCAGCAACTAAAATGTTAAAAGTTATACTATCAGGTGCCACACCCTTGCTTCTCATTTCTTCATAAAGCATATTTGCCTGATTGACTTCTCTCGCCTTGACATAGCCATTCATCAAAGTATTGTACGATACGGTGTTGGGCAACACGCCCATCTCTTGCATTCCGTCGAAGATATTTCTTGCTTCCACAATGTTACCGTCCTTGCAAAAGGCACTGATAACCGTCCCAAATGTGACAGTGCTTGGCTTGCAACCACTTTCAACCATCATCCGCACCCAATTTAGAGCATCTGAAGTCCACCCCCTAACACAATATGCATTGATCAAAATGTTATATGTATAAACATCTGGTTCACATCTAAATTTCTTCATTACATGCAACAAACTTTCTCCAATACTAACACATCCTCTTCTACAGAAACCGAGGATCATGACATTATAAATAAACACTGAAGGACAGGGTCCTCTTTTAACCATATCCCTGAACAACTTCCAGACACTTCCATAATCACCAACCCTTAGCAACAGCTTTAGAAGAGAGATAATGGCCGATAAACTTGGCCTGCTACCAGTCTTCCTTAACCTCCCCAATACATCTAATGCTTGTGATCCCATCTCTGCATTTGTGAACGAACGCATTAATGAATTAAGAACTGAAAAATCTGACTCATACTTAGAATGTTCTCTCCACATAAACTCCACCACCTCATTACTCCTATCCTCCCCCGTTCTCCTAATCACCCATGTAAGCACATCTTGTGCTAGAAACCTCAAGTCCTCAGCTGCTAACAAATGTGCAGCAATGCAACTTTTCCAGATCACACTTTCCAAATTATCTTTAAACACAAATTTGAAAAACGCAAACGCCACCTGCCGTTCTTCAAGCATTTTCATGATTTCTACAAGTATATAAGGGCAGAAATTATAGGCCAGTTTCTGTAAGAGATAACCCTTTTCTTGTTTGATCATTTTTGCTATTCCAAAAGCAATTTTACGCCTCTCATTCGAATTAATCAGAGTGCTTGAAGCGTTAAAAAAATTCTTGAAGGGCGTAAATTGTTCAAGAAAATCAAATTTGGAATCAAAGGAAAGAGAATTTGAGCTACTGCGGTAAGAAGATTGATTAAACTCGGAAGTTTCTAGGGTCTGTTGTGGAACAGAGAGAGAATGCAGAAGTAGGTTTTGTGAAGTTGAGAGAGAAGCGTAGAGTGAGAAAGAGCTACAGACCTTGAGAGTGATGTGAAGCCGGCGCACAGTGGCAGACATCCGGAGAGGTCACCGGGGTTTTCGTCGTCTATGTGGCTTCCGACAACGGCGTCTGAAGAGGGTTTTAGCTTGTGCCACTGGCTGGCTCATTCCCGTCAAAAGACTAGAAGGGAAAATTTTATGGGAAAAAATCATTTTTCCTGCTTTATCCTATTTCAAAAATAACAAAACAACTTTTACATTTTAAAAATCAAATTTTTTAACCTATGGGTTAATTTCACAAATGGTCACTGAAGTTACAGCAAAATAACAAAATGGTCACTGAAATTCGAAACTTGCACAAACGGTCACTCAACTTTCAGGTACTTTCAAAAATGGTCACTGGGGTAAGTTTTTGGACTTTTTTGTTCTAATTGAAACCTAAATTAACAAAAGACGGTCCCTTCAAAATTTGAGGACCTGAAGTGCAATTCCCTTTTTTATAAAACACCAAATTGACGTCTGTTGTTGCCTGTTTTGATTGGGCTCGATTGATCATTCATGGCCATTCTTGAACCAGAAACGACCAGCACCTCCACCAAATCAAGGTACAATTCTGCCATCTTAAACGCAACCATACCGCCTAGCTAAATCCAACCACTGTGTAATTCTCATCCCCAACTTCCTCAGCCCCTTGGCCAGACACTCTGCCAGGAATCTCGGCGACCTGTCCGAGCTATCGGTGATTGATCCACAGAAAAAGAGGAGGTCCGGCACGTAAACTGAGTACTTCTTTGTCAATGAACCCACCTGGAATTGCCAGGTGACAATGCCCTCGGCCGTGAAACCATGGACTAGTAGTACGACCACCGATTTTGTCGGTTTGGCAGCCAAATTGGGGCTGGATTGATCATTCAATCTTTCAATTGGCAGTGGACCCATGATGATATGACCTTCAATAGAGATAGGAATGGTAGAGTTTGGGACAATACACACAAAACCATCATCAATTTCATCACAAAGAACTCCTTCACGCTGGCTGTGCGACTGGTGAAATTTCTTGGTTGCAATTGACATTTTTTGCAGTTGTTTGTAATGAATTGTTGGCATGGGTGTGGTCGCCTGGTGAAAGGCAGTTGGCTGGAGGTGGGTTCCGACCATGAGGATAGCCGGAAGCATGATTCCCGACGATTTTCAGTTTGGAAGGCAGTGAACTTTGCACACAGATTTCGACCGCTATAGTTGTTAGAATTAGGTGATGTTTGGTGGTATGTGAAGCTGGAGTTGAGGGCTGTCGACCGGTGGTAATGTCCGGCAGCTTTGGTGGCCGAAGCTCGCCGGAGTTGGGATGCATTTTTGGTGAAAGGGATAGGGTGTGGTGTTTTATAAAAAAAAATGAATTGCACTTCAGGTCCTCCAATTTTGAAGGAACCGTCTTTTGTTAATTTAGGTTTCAATTAGAACAAAAAAGTTCAAAAACTTACCCTAGTGACCATTTTTGAAAGTGTCTGAAAGTTAGTGACCGTTTGTGCAAGTTTCGAACTTTAGTGACCATTTTGTTATTTTGCTGTAACTTCAATGACCATTTGTGAAATTAACCCTTTAACCTATACATACACCATATATATAAATATTTATTTATATATATAAATATATAAAAAGATATAAATAAATAAATATAATTAACC